TTGGCAGATAATCTGGGAGAAGTGCCATCTTCTAAACACCTGGGCTTGCCTTCTGTCGGGTCAAAATCTGTTGTTAGACTTTTGGTCCGGATAATTGTTCTTCACCTTGGATGTAGATTAGAATTACCTGGGAAGCTTTTACAAAATACCAATGCCTGGGCCCCACACCAGGCCAATTACCCCAGAATCTCTTGGAGTGGGGGCCTTAGCATTAGTATTTTTAAAAACTCCCCAGGTGATTATAATGTGCAGTCAAGACTAAAACCACTGGCTTAGTATACTAAAACTGTTCGTTAACAAGAGATTATTTCCAGGGGGACAGATATGGAAACTTCTAAGATATATCCAAACAACTCATGGAATCGAAGCTAAAGTTCCTCATGGAACTGGGCTTAAGGGTCAAGATCATAGTCTTGGGAACATCTAGGTCAATTGGCATAACATAAAAATAATGTTCTACGTCCAGGCTTGGTGAGTAGCATCTGGCATCTTAAAGCTTACAAGTGCCCATCTAAGCTGCAACTATTGGTCTATCCCTGCCTGGAACAAAGAAGAGTAAAGGAAACCAAAGACTCAAGGAAGTGGTAAGTCCACAGGACTAATGGCCCAGATGAGCTGCAATCTCCTCTAGCCTGGGACCAAAAGAACTAGATGGTGCCCAGCTACCACCACAAACCACTCTGACCAGGGGCCCAAGAGGAGGTCCTAGTTAAAATGGGAGAAATATGTAGAACAAAACTCAAATTCATAAAAAAAGTCCAGGTTTACTGGACAGATAGAGACTGGAGGAACCCCTGAGACTATTGCCCTTAGACCAAACCCTTTTAACCTGGAACTGAAGTTACTTCCAGAGGTCACCTTTCCACCAAATAATAGTTTGGCTTATAAAATAAATAATAACATCCATGAGGAATGTACTCCTTAGAACAATCAACTATACAAACAGGCAACATTTGTCCAGAAGCAAAGATGGGAAGGCAAGGAGGGGTAGGGGAACTGATGGGATTGAAATGGGGAAGGCAGGGTAGAAATGGGGAGAATGCTGACACATTGCAAGGATAGCAACCAACATCATGGAACAACTTGTGTATAAATTATTGATTGGGAAACTAATTTGCTGTGTAAACTTTCACTTAAAACACAATAAAATGTTAAAAAGAGCGAGAGCGAGAGAGTGGGAGAATGAGTTAGAGAGAGTGAGAGCAAGAGCAAGAGAGAAAAAGATTATTTCCTTCGCTACGCTTCACCTGGGAGCTCTGGTAGCATAGTGCCTAAGGCACTTGACTGCTAATCAGAAGGCTGGAGGTTCAAACCCACCAGCCACTCCTCGGAAGGAAGGTTGGACAATCTACTTCCGAAGTGATACTGCCTCGGAAACCCAAGGAGAGGTCGCTATGAGTTGGGTCCTACTCGATGGCACATAACAACAATGCTTCACCTGAAAAATGAAAATGTTTACTCTTTCCATTCACTGGGGTTGGGTTTGAACACACACCTTGAACCAGTGCAAGCTAGAACACTTGATGTTGATATAATATTATAATATAATATAATATCAAATGCCTTAAGCACTACGCCACCAGAGCTCTCATAGTATAATGTACAATGTTGATATAATGTAATATAATAGGCTATTTGTGGTCAATTAGCTCAGTTGTTTAGAATGTAGTGCTAATGAGGCCAGAATCATGTATTCTCCCCAATTAGACTAATATTCTGTTGCATAGGTTGTTCCCATAACTGCAATCAAGCTGCTTCACAAAGAGACTCGAGACTGATTACAAAGGCAAAAGGCAATGTATAAATCAGCATAGCCCCATTCACTATGGGAAAATCTGTTCTAGGAACCTGCTTCATTGACTAATGCTTCTAATTGCTTAGAATGCAGCATGGACAGCATTGTCCATGCCCATTGTGCTGGGTGGTGGATTGGGGAATGGAATATTTCCATTTGAAGGCCTGAGACTATAAGAATGGATGGTTTAATTTTTGAGAGGAAAGGAAAGGAACACAAAAGAGACAGAAATATAGAAAGAGGATAAACCTCAATGATACTCTCCTACCTACAGTGACAGATCCTGTCAGACACATCTGCCCAGGGTAAACTGAGCTATATCCCAGAGAGAGGGAAAGTGAATTGTCTTATTTAGTATCTGTGAGTGAGAATTCTCATGATGAGATATATTACTCCATTTGTGCTAGTACAGTCATCAGGGATACAATTTGCATGGCTTTGCTTATGTGCCCTAACATGTAGTTCTGGTGCCACCGAGCTCCAAATCTGATGCACAGTACTCACAGGTTGGACCTCCCTCATATGCAAAATTATTTAAAATATTCTGCTTAAAAATTGACTAACCTGACAGTAGCTTGGGATGTTGCTCATGCTTTTCTTACAAAGTCAGTATCTTCTGTATTTCCTTTTCAAATCTGTGTACCTATCTATTAACTTCCTTGAAAAATTTTTTTAGTAAATTTTGAGGCTCAGCTGGAACAGAGACTGTTATTTTATTGCCTGACTGAGATCAAACTCCTGATCCTACTTGAGGTTTCATGTTCGTAGAGAGCAGGGCATAAGGTCTTCTACCTGAGTTATGATAAATGCAATTGAAATTTTCCTTTGGATGTATGTTCTATTATCTCTGTTTTACAAAGACAGAAACGGAGGCACACAGAGATTAAGTGATTTCCCCAAGGTTGCACAATGAAACTAATAGTTGAACTGTACTGAGTGCTTAATCATTTACCCACTATAACAGGACAGCATGCTTTTTTGGAGGGTCAGAGGAGGCTTCTACTTGTTAAATTAGATATCAAACTGAATAGCATAGAAAAGCAAATTTAACCAATACCAATTTTGCCTCTAATGTTGATACAACAAATCAATGATTGGTGGTTGACTGATGGATTGATTGAGTGACTGACTGATAACATCTATCTGCCAGCTTAGATTATATTCCCAACACAAGTTTAAGTTTGCCGCCTCCTCCTGTGATTGCTGGCAAGAATGTCAACATTCATTTTCTTATGAATAAATTAGAAATGAACTGACTTATTTGATTTTTACTCTCCCAATCCATTTATCAAGGAGGTCTGATGGTGTAGTCATTAAAGCATTTGGCTGCTTAACTAGAAAGTTGGCGGTTCAAACCCACCAGCCACTCTGTGGGAGAAAGATAGGCAGTCTGCTTCTGTAATGATTTGCAGCCTTGGAAACCCTGTGGGTTAGTTCTACTCTGTTCTATAGGGTCTCTATGAGTGAGAATCAACTCAATGACAGTGGGTGGATAATCCATTCATCCTAACAGCACCAATAGTTACTTGAGGTTTACATTAATGGGGATTTTATCTTCTAGATAAAAGTAGTGTGAGTAGACATTACAGGCCTATCTTCAAATAAGGGGCATGGAGGGGCATGATGATGCCTGAGTAAGTATAGGACAACCTTGGGATTTAGTTTTCTTTCCAATCCTCTCTCCTCCTTTCTTCTACCATCCCCGTCTACTCTAGGTACTTAAGTTCCCTACCCTGACTGGTAGCTTAGTGCCTAAGGCACTTGACTGCTAACCAGAAGGCTGGCGGTTCAAACCCACCAGCCACTCCTGAGACAATCTACTTCCGTAGTGATACTGCCTTGGAAACCCAAGGACGGGTCACTATGAGTCAGGTCTGACTCAATGGCACATAACAACAACAACAACAACAACCCTGACTGCTGTATGTCTGGTGCACGTTTGGTAGCTAGATGTGCCATTTTCTGCTCTGCCATGCTGTGAGCTCCTTGAGAGCGAGGGCTGTATCTCTGTTTTCAGGTAATGTTTGACATAGTTGTCTGAAAGAATTAGAAAATGGTGAACAAGGCAAGGATTCTGCTATTTTGTTAGCTAGGGAATTCTTGTATTTCGTTTTCCAGTCACTCTCAACTGAAGTAATTTCAGAGACCTCTAAGGAATTGTAAGAATTTCTGGTAGGATGGCAAAAGGCTGGAGGAGATGTCTTTGGGCATTTTTCAGAGCATATAAAGGTTCAACAAGAGTAATTCTGGGGCAAGACCCACTTTAGTAGGACATTCATTTACCTCAAAATAGACTTTTCTCTGGGTTCCACACCTAAATCTTCCTCCAATCCTCCCAACCTGTGGTGCTCATAAACTGTTCTCCTATCCCTTTTGTCTGGCACGTATTCTGCATTTGCTTTTGTAAAGCCTTTGCTCAGGCAGTCTACTGTAACCAGATTAGACAGCGGTATTTTAATGATAGGTGCTGAGGCAGGGGTTTGCTTACAACTCTGTTTCACATGAAAGGCTTTGGCACCCCCTGTGTACTGCCCTCCACCTCTGTTTTAGGTATAATACTTGTTTGCCTTTATATCTGTGATAAAACGAAGGCCTTTCTACATAACCAGTGTCAAGCAATGTCTCAAAACAAAGAGAAGTGCAGAGTTTAAATTCACGGTGGGGGATTACCTTTCGTGTATTTCCATATCTATGAAATAAATATTTCAACATGGTAATTATCTACTACTAATGAAAATGCCTTTGAACTTCCAGTCAAATTGATGGTGAAGAATTGAGTCCATTGGGGAATGGTAAGCAATTAGTTTCTGTAAAGATTGTGAGTCATGTTGTATCTTCTCCGTGAGCGGTTGCATGGTCAGTGGCCAACCCTATTCTAGGGAATGTTTGTGTCAAGTCCATGTTGGTCTGTAGATGAGGGAATCTTCCACAGACCCCCCCAGAGTCCCAAGGAGGTGGGAGGCACTCCTCAGGCTATTGGCCTACAATGGCCTTCATTTCCAATTTCTTTATTGCCTCTTGCCTAGTATAGAAAAATCTCCCTAAGTAGGGCAATTTGAGTCTTCTCTTGTATCATCTGTGTAACTTAAATTTTTTTTTCCCATTTTAGACTGAAAACTATTCTTTTGACTCCAACTACGTGAACAGCCGAGCCCATTTAATCAAAAGGTATGTTGATTTGTTTGTCTTTCTACAGCTTGCATTTTCATATCCACTCTCCCACTTTGTTGCACTACTACTAAATTTAATATAAAAAATGAAATTAGATTACAATTTTTTAAATCATGCCTTTTTCAGATTTTAAAATGAATCACTTCTGCTTATTGTAGAAATTTTGGAAAATTCAGAAAAGCATAAACAATGACATAAAAATCACTAGTAATTCCATCATCTAAAGGTAATAACTGTTGGCATTTTGTCATATCTATTTACATTGAAATGGATGTATAAACATTCACTTTTTTAAAATAAAGTCAATTGATATCATGCTATAATATGGTTTTGTGTAATGATTTAGAATCTGATATTAGAAATAGATATTTTTAAAATTCTGTTGACGTAAAAATTATTGTTGCTCTTCCTTTTATGTAAAGGAAGATTTTTCAAAGTTTTCTCCTGTGGAACTTCCATTGAGTTTCATCATTGCTGTTACTTTCACGTCTTTGAAATCATTTTAAGGATATTTTAATGACAGCTCAATTAATTCTTTATCTTTTTAAATACCATGTTTATGAGGGAGGGAAAGAAAAAAGATATTTGCCTTATTCAACATTCCGTAAAATATTGAAGGGTAGTTCAAATTAAACATTCAAAGTGGAGATTTGTGTGATTGGACAGGCATAAATCAGCTATGCACAGAGCCACAATGTATGTGAGTACAGAGCTGAAGACTGCTGAAGAAGTTTTCCATTTGTGCAGTGGGCACTAAAGCAGACCGATGGGGTACAGAACAAGCAGCTCAGGAATCCCTCTAAGGAGGGAGCATGCAGAAAACCCGGTACTGACCATTCACATGATGCCTTTATTACTGCTTCATGTAAATAGCCTCTTGAATGGTTCAGTGGTTATTCTGCAGCTAAACTTGAACTTCTGCGTGCGTTTGTTAAAATAGTAGAAATGAAATAGAGAGGCAAGCAGGTTATGTTAGAGCTTTGGTATAGGAGGCCTGAAAATTCTATCATTTTGCTGGCTTTCATCCCATAAATTTAAGCACCAGAAGAGTAGGATTCAAGATATAAACTAGCTTGTTGTACAAGCAACTTTAATTCATATCTGATTTGATTCACAATGCTGAAATAGCCCCTGGAAAATGCTGGGTTTATCTGTGTTGGCCTGGGATTGCTGGTGACCTTACGTGATGATCATCAATCATCTGAAAATGGATATTTAAGTATTACCAGTCGTAGTTTAGTTGGCAATTTTTGTGAGGGGTAGAGAGGAATCCTTTTTGAATATTTTTCTTGATCCACAAAATTAAAGCAAAAGGTGAGGAAGTCAAAATTACCCGACTTATTTGGCTTAGGAGAAAGAAAAAAAAAATACTCTTTACAGGCGTTGATTACAGTGACTTTTCAGCAGAAATCTGTTTTGTTGCTTTCTTCAGGATTTTTATTTTCATTTTTTTTTATATAATGCAAAAACAAACTTCTGGTAAAAAACAAAAACAATGACTTACCTTATTCATACAGGTCCCTTGGGCCGCTCCGAGTACTTGGAACTTCTATGACCAAGTTAAATTGATAGCATGAGCCAGATTGTCATAGGCTGGCAGAAAGTTGAAACTCCCAGGGAACCTTTCCATCATTAGCCAGCTCTGAATTTCCAATTCACAAGGCAAACTGATGATATGAAAACTTACGTTCAGTCATTTAGCTTCTGGGATATGTGTGTTTCCACAGTAGCTCTGCACTCACTGGAAACCTCTGATTTTGATTAATTATAAGGACACAACTTGGACTCAATGGTCTCCTGGTAGGAAAGACTCCTGATTTTGCCTGAAAGATAGCAGCTTTTACCAGGGGCCCCTATGATTAAGAGAAAACATATGAAAGCTCAGGGAGACAATGCATTTTTGCCAGGTCCTGTTTATAGAACCAAGAGAGCTTTGGAAAACCATGCAAACCTGGGAACTTAGGGAATGAATTGAGTTTAGACAAAGCAAATACCTGGTAAGATGTAAGAGATCTTGTGTGTTCTACTTTTCAGCGGACTAACATTTAAATACAAAATGTGTGGAAAATAACGTGTGTTCGAATAGCTCATAGCAATATCTGAAAGGGATTTCACTATATGTGATTTCTTGAAGATCCATTTACATGTATGGAAAAAGCTCCTGGCCTGGAAATTCTGAATCTGTTTATCAGTTTTAATTTTATTTACAAGTTCCTGTTTCTTTGAATGCCAATCCAAGGACACTCCAACTTTGAGACCTTTTCCTCTCTACTTTCTATCCATTCAAAGATGCTTCTTGGACTTTTCTCTAACATTCTTCAGCAGTTTATTCACCTTCTTGGCTAGACACAGATTTCTTTTTCACTGACTCTTATCTACCTTAGGTAGTTGAACAATGGCTACCGCTATCAACCTCTGGTTCTTCCCTGCCACAGCTGGAGTTTCTACATGAAATAATTGATACACTCAATCAATAGATTAATATGAGGAAAATTTATTTATAAAGGTTCTATATGCAAAGGCTTGGGCAAGGTTAGAGAACCACAAGGAATAATGAAGGATTCCGGCACTTAGAACAGTAGAAGAGCCGAAAATGTTTGTGAAAGGACCAGGAAAGGGAGCATTCAGTGAATGGTGGCTTGAGAGGACCAGTGACTTCTGTTGGTGGAGGGATAGTTAAAAAGTGATGCTGCAGGGAGCTAGCTGGAGGATCAATGCCCAGATGTTACTCTTCTCCCTTCCTCTGATTTCCATTGACTAAATTCAGTGGAAAGTCAGAGGGCAAGGAGGTTCTCATAGGCACAATTCAAGGTTGAGAAGGGTGGGGAGTGGATGTGGAAGGGAAAAGGAAGGATAGATACAGATATATAAAATAAGCCCGCTGCTGTGGAGGCAATTCTGACTCATAGCGAGTGACTTTATAGGACAGAG